TCGCACAGCCTGAATCCTCCGCTGTCTCCGCGCACTCTGCCCTTCCCTGCTCCCGGCAGGCTGCTGGGAGATGTAGTTTTCCTTCCCTCCTGGCCAAAGGCGGGCGGCATTTCCCCAGCCGACACAGTCGTTGTCGGGAGAGTTTAGGAAACAATAACCTTTCCTTTTTCTTTTTTTTTTTTTTACTGTATTTCTGGGGTTGTGCAGTTTCCTTCGGGCATAGCTTCCTGCGCTAAGGAATTGTGGATTGAAGGGAGGAAATGATAGTGAGGAGGGAACTGGTTTGGGAGATGATTTATGAAAAGTGCCGCGAGAAAAAAAAAAACAACAACCCAAACACGTAGGTGGCAAAGCACAGGGTCTGGAAATGTCACACTGGGGCAGTGCAGGGAAGCTAGGGGCTGTGGGATGTGACATGGAAAGGCTTTAGCATCAGCCTGGAGGGACAGGGATGAGGAGGGCCTCAGTATTTCCTTCCAGTGTGGTCCAGAGACTGTAATATGGGAGAAGTTCTGAGAGTGTGTGTGTGTCTGCTCCTGGCCTCATCTGGGCAATGTTTTTCAAAAAAATGATGTTCAAAGTTGCAGTGCCTACACAGAGAACAGGTATGTTCCAACCCCTTCCCTATCCCCCCCTCCCTTGCCCAGGACATGTTTGATGGGAAAGCAGTGGTGTGTAGTATGCCAGAAGAAAGGCATCAGCACAAGGAGCAGCATCACAGAGACTGCAATCCTCCTCAAACTCAGCTTGCAGCCTTCTCAGAGTTATCCCCAAAGGAGCCAGCAGCTGAGACAAAACACAGGGAAAAGAACTGAAATGGTGCTGGGAAGGAGCAGGCACTAAATGTCTGAAACTCCTCAATTTGGAGAGCAGAAGGGCTGAAGGATTTGACTAATGTGTTTGATTTGACTTTGGTTTAATTTTACTACATAGCCCCCTTACTAGTAGTACTTGAGACACTTGTAAAACAGGTATGAAGTTGGGTTCAAATGGGCAGAAAAAAATACTTCTTTATGCTGTGTGCAGGAACTCTTACTGGCACAGAAGGCTCAAAAAAGGATGCATCTCATTTGTGGACAACAGGTGCATAAACAGAGAGCACAGGACTAGGCAGGGCTGTGCCTGGCAATGGGAGATGCTGTTTAGGTGAAGGCCATGAGCTCAGCTCTGCCCCCTCCTCTGTTCCCCTGACGCTCCCACAGCACCCATCAGTGTCTCACTGGGGACACCAAAGCCAAAAGGGGCTGTGTGTATCCTCTGCCCCAGGCAGAATCAGGGGGTGCCTTGCTTCTCTGCCTCTCCCCAGGCCTCCACAAACTGCTCCCTGCCCTTTGCATCCATCCCTTGACTGCATTGTGACCACTCGGTTATGAGACGCGTGTGTCACGTTTCACAGGGTGTGAGCATGTGTACAGGTATCAGTACTGGTGCTGGTTCTATCAGGAAGGTGATGAGGAGATGAGGTGTGTGTGTGCACAGTGCACGCAGCCAGAGCAGGATTGCACCTCATCTCTGGCAGTGACTTCCTTGTCACCCACCGAGCCCAGGAGGGGACATTGGCCATGTCAGACTCAGCACATTTCCTTATCGTGACCAACCTCTCAACAGGAGCAGCAGAGGCTGTAAAACCAGGAGGATGGCAAAGCAGGAAGGAAAAAATCAGCATGGCTTTTCCACAGAGGCCAAGGTCTCCCTGAGGACTTTGCTCCTGGCTGCTATCCATCTCACATCCTGGCTTCATCTGCTTCAGTAAGGAACAGCCAAGGAACAGCAGAGAGGAGCTGCAGGTGTCAAGTGCTTCACAAAAAAACACAGGATTCTACATCCCTCTGTCCCTATCATCCAGTCCCTTCATCACAACAGGCAGTTGGAGCTGAGGGAGGAGCTGCAGGTGTCAAGTGCTTCACGAAAAACCACAGGATTCTACATCTCTCTGTCCCTATCATCCAGTCCTTTCATCACAGCAGGCAGTTGGGGCTGAGAGACCTCCTTTTCCACAGGAGCACAAGTGTCATCAAACTGGTGGCACGTGTGTGACAAAATCAGGGGGTCACTGCAGCCTCTGGGGGTTGAGAACCTGGTTCCTGAAAAGCTGTTTGGCAGCAGAATGAACTGGTTGGCCTGGGGCATGAAGTTATCACAAAACTGTTTCAAAACAGGATTTGGATGCTATGTTATATTGCTTTTCTTTAGCATCCACAAAGTCAAGGGAGCTGCAATTTTAACTTAACAAATCAGGTCTTTTTTAACTCAAGTTTGAGGGAGAATTTTATTTAAATAGGAATAACCTTTTCTCTCAAACTGAATGAACTGGTTGGCCTGGGGCATGAAGTTATCACAAAACTGTTTCAAAACAGGATTTGGATGCTATGTTATATTGCTTTTCTTTAGCATCCACAAAGTCAAGGGAGCTGCAATTTTAACTTAACAAATCAGGTCTTTTTTAACTCAAGTTTGAGGGAGAATTTTATTTAAATAGGAGTAACCTTTTCTTTCAAACCGCAGAAGAATCAAGGGTGAGTAGGTGAACTATAAAGGACAGGCCATGGAAATATTTGCACAAGGTAATACTTCAGTAACTTTATTTGGAAACTTGTGGATAAAGAATACTCCTTGCACCTGGAGTTCCCCTGAGTAGAAATCATGAGCCAGTCACCCATAGGCCTTTTTCTACTTGATTTGAACAACTTGGATGTCTTAGCTGTACTTAGAAACCTAATGTGTTATTTATTAGAGACTCTTTTGCTTCAGAAAACATTGCTCAATGTGTGTGTTCTGCTTTCAGGTCTGAAAACATTGCTCAATGTGTGTGTTCTGCTTTTAGGTCTGAAAAGAATGAGAATATTTACTTTATTGCTGGTACAGTAGGAGGAATGCATAACTTAACCTCCCAAATATTCACTTGCTTCTGTGTGCAACCAGAACATTTGTCATGTGCAAGTGAAGCATTAGAAGTTTTTTTTTAGAAACGTACAGAGAAGTGAAGGCTGAATGGCACTTCCCTCATCCAGCTGCTTGTTGCACTGCACAGAACACACACACCCTACCCTGTTTCAAGCCTGAGAAAACAAATAGCATCACAAATGTGAGCAGATGTGTTCTAGAGTTATTTCAGTATCATCTCCCTCAATCCTGCCTTTGTGGGTATGTAGAAATCCCTCTGAATTTCGACAGGGGCCTGTGTTTGCTTAGCAACTCATTTTCAAAGAGGGAAAATTCAGGTTAGATATTCGAAGGAATTCTTTACTGTTGTGGTGGTGAGACACTGTCCCAGGTTGCCCAGGGAGGCTGTGGCTGCCCCAACCCTGGCAGTGTTCACAGCCAGGTTGGATGAGCCTTGAGCAACCTGCTCTGGTGGGAGGTGTCCCTGCCCAGGGCAGGGGTTGGCGGTGCATAATCTCTAAACTCCATTCCAACCCCTTAACACTCTGCAATTCCATCAAACCGCTCCGAAGTGCTCGCTGCCGCCAGACGGGTGTGCGGCGGTTCGGG